ACGGCTTGATGTTCAGCAACACGACCACGTTTGTGTGCAGTCTCCCTATGTCCTTATGGGCTCGGCCGTGTGTACTTGTGAAATCAACGGCCAGTGGAGCGGTGTGCAGCCAACTTGCGTCCGTAAGTACATGTACCAATGCTCGACTGGCTTGTATTATGCATTCCCGTTCATCACACCGCTCATACTGTCAAATGCTGCCTCTTTTCATTCACAATGGCATGGGTCACAGTGGATAGGCCTGGTGCAGGTATTGCCAGTTCCTTGCTTGCTGCAGTACAGTATGACATATTAACTTAGCTGGTAAGCAGTGCATGTGTGCATGGCAAGTGTTAATTTTGTCCATTGCTTCCCAACCCATGTGTAGTGACGACTGCTGCTCTGAGTGCGGCCAGTGACGAGCTAGTCAAGGACTCCGTCTCAGAACGCATGACACAAACGTGTAAGCCTAGTATTGCTGCATAATTAAGAGCAATTTCTCCTACTGCTGACTGCTGAAAATGTTGTGTCCTTCACAACTAGTCTCTTTGTTCTAAGAAGTCTGCCTCTTTCATCGATTCGTGTTTACCTAGCTGCGTTACGCTATTAGTAGCCTATTACCTGTTGTGCAATGGAGCTGGCCTAAAAGCTGCTCGCTCAACAGTTGTGTTGCATGGCATAGAGGGAGATACGGCAAGCCACCTCGGCATATTTGCGGATAGAGCTTTTATTAGAAAGGAAAAGGACATATGGATACGAGTTAGGAGTAACTGTCCACCACTGTAACTAGCTACTACAGTAAAAAAATGCAACAACTAGGCACAAAACTGACAGAGTGCTGAGACATTCGACGACCTGACTCCTAGCTTCAACACATCTCCGTAGCGCTAACCAACAGCCTTCCAACTTGGAAGGTTCAAGGTTAAAAGGAGAGACCAAAGAGGGGAAGGTAAGCGCAACGAAAATGAGCACAAGCTAGTAGTTGAAGCTACAGTCCCACAAGAACAAGAAATGTTGATTGTTACTGGACGATGACGAAACCAGTATTACCTTTCCCTCTTTGGTCTCTCCTTAACACTACGGAGATGTGTTGAAGCCAGGAGTCGGGTCGTCAAATGTTTTAGTGCCTGGTTGTTGCACTTTCTGACTGTATTTAGTATATAGTGACAGTTACTCTACACTCATATCCATACGTCCTTTTCCTTTCTACATTAATTTTATTATTGCCATATTGGCTCAACATCCGAGTTTCAAAGAGCTTTTAGTGGACGACTTAATCCATTTTCGGCAATACTTACAACGATCCAATCAGTCATATTGTAGATCAGGCTATGCTGTGGGTAAGTATACTACTGGCCTTGTATGGCTTATTGTTTGCCAGCGAGTATTTAGCATCATCTACTAGTATTCACTCGTTTGACAGCCAAAGAGTATTTGTGTGGGAGGCTGGGAGTCTCGCACCTGACTTGGTCACGTTGCGCCTGAAGGTCACTAAGACGCGGCCATATACGGTGGAGCCGTCGCAGTTCCATCTACTGTCGACCAAACATGCCCGGTATTGGCTATTCCGGTACATGACAGCCCATGCCTGTAGCACCAAGCCTGTGTTCACTTTTGCCAAAGGGATCCACCTTACTCGGCCTTATTTAAATAAGATACTCTGTCACGCTCTCAACTGTTATCAGGTTAGCTCCTGCTCCATGCCCATTGTTGGAGCGACAGTCCTGGAATCCAGAGTTGCAAGTGAGGTGGTGATACGGCAAGCAGACGGTGGCAAAGTACGGCTTAAAAGCTCTACATCTGGCAAGTGGCCGGCATACCACCCCAATGGACATCGGAACAGTACACGTAGAGTAGCATCTCTACGTGACAGGGTATGAGCGCAAGTGAGTTCTTATGCTCTACTAATGTGCATTGATACTGTGACTATAGTTGCAGGGAATTTTCTAGAACCGCCCCAACCGGTTTTCGACCGGTTGAAAAGTTACAAATCAGTTCCAACCGCCCGTACTTTTCTGTGGGTGAATGGAGCTGTGAATGGTCATACGCTTTTTTCTGGATGGATACTTCCAGCGAAGCCGCGTGGGCTGGTACTAGGGTCACGAGTTTGTACGGTTTGTACGGTCGAACCACGTCATCGAGCTGTAGCAACGGCGTTGCTACAGTCCAACAGCTCCGCGCGACACTCCAGCACCAAGAAATCTGTTAAATTGCTGTCGAGTGCCATATTTGGGTTGTATTTTGAAAACTATTTCCGGAGGGGGACCCCCCGACTCTTCATTGTACCGTAACCGGTTGGAAATTCGTCCTAGAATATACCCTGAGTTGGTGTACAGATCTCATCACATGAGCCTTATGCGGGATTTCCTATTGTCACTGGAAAATTCAGCCCTAACAAACAGTGTGATGGATGAATTTGACTCCAGGTATCTGCTTTTGGGAATGCCATGTATGCATGTCTGGCGTGCTGCTGCTATAATGTTGTGGCAGCAGCATTTTGGTGCGATGGACTGTTCTTGTAACGGTGTACCTACCCATTTGCTGTTGCCGGATGCCGTGTTTTGTCAGTTGTGCCTGTTTGAAGGTGCCAGGCCAGCTTGTGTTGGTGCGTTCCCGTTAAGTTGCCAGGGCACCATATTTGTAACGGCGTTCCCGTTTTGCTGTTGTGGGGCTGTGTTTGTATCGGTGTGTTCCCGTTGAAGTTGACGGGGCACCACGTTAGTGGATTGTGCCTGTTTGAAGTTGCCAGGCCAATCCTGTAACGCACACCCGTTTGCTGATAAATGGGGACATGTTTGTCCATTTTGCTCGAGATTCACATGGCTGCGCCAGTTGCCTTGTGCGGATTAGACTGTTATCTGGCACTAGTCTTGATCTGTTTTATTCAGATTCAGATCAGCTATTGTTCCTATACGAGAAAATCTGTGGGTGCACATCCAATTCATTTGCAGATTTGCGTGCTTCTCCTGCAACGGGCGTTTACATGGTACATGGTGTGTGGGCGTATGTGTGGTGTGTTCATGCTGCACAGGCCAGTATTGCCAAGCACTGGGGACCTTTGGCAATCTGAAGAATGTTTTGTCCGAGAATCGATCCTTGGATCTGTGGCGTTGCAGTTGTGGTGCTCCCGACCCTCTTGCGCGATGGCCGCGGAGACCTAGCGAAAAGGTTCGAGACATACGGCATCTCAATATCTTCCACCACAATCAGTACATCAGCACCACCATTGAGTGTAGCGACATCAGCAATAGAAGACGCACATGATATCATCCACCCTTACGGCCTTAGCGAAGACCCGGGAATACCTGAGAAGATGTTAGCCGCAACTTTACTGGAAAAGTCGTCGGTGACAACGGCACTCCATATTTTAGCTGCATGCAGTTAGGTCTCTCAACAAGTGTACCCAAAGTTTTCAAGCTAATACACAAGCAAATTCACTAGGGGCCGAGTATATTTTCCTACACCTCTCCCTGTTTGTTGTTGTTATTTCTGCATTCAAATTGTTTGTGTACCTGTACATTTATTACAGTAGAGCCACGCATCCACAGCTGTTGTTTCCAAGGGGTCAGGCTCGTCAGTTTTACAAAACCTTTCAGCAATCTGGCCTTAGGCTTAGTTCCTTGACTTTTTGTGCCACTTTCTTAGATGCACATCCCACTGGATAGTGAGCAATACGTGTGTAGCAGAATCTGTATTCCAGAAAAGCAGAGACTCGAGTCTATTGACTTTTAAAACGTTATTGGCTGTGGTGTACCTAGAGGTATACACGTACATTCCTGGGTCCCACGTTCTGTGACGCCCGACTGTATTCGTGGTGCCTCAACAACTTTTAATTTTGTGCGCTCGGAAAAACCTGCCGGAGACTGTGAGGCTGCAGAGTGTTGGCTGTGTTTTGCTTTAAAAAACCATCAGGTCTCCCCAGATTTTCTAGTCTGGCCCTGAATTTTGCCACTCTTCGGTTTCAAAACCTAGTGTGGTGGTGGAAAGCCTAGCAGTGTTGTGTGTGCATGTGTGTATTTTGTACAGTGCTGGCCAGAGAAATCCAACCTCGTTAATAAAGTAGCGCGCGTTCGAGAGCACAGACCGGTCCAGTATGTTTACTACTAGGGCTGCATAGCGCCCGGTGCAATTTTATTCATAAGGTTGGATTTCTTTGGCCAGCACTGTAGTTAGAAGTAGGTCCTCTAAGGTCCTCTGTTTGTGTGCAATTGTGGTCACAGTGGCAGTAGTGGGTGAGGGGGGTAGACTCAGTTACTACGAAGATGGTGTATACATGATGGTGTATACAGTCATGTAGTTGAATGTTACTTCGGGCTTAGACCCAGAGGTTCTTGAAATGATGACCCCGGGTTTATGTACATGTATCATTCAGCTACCGTTGTCATAATGGCACTAGTTGATAGAACACCTGTATAAGTACAGGCTGTACATCTAGCATTTTCCAAAATAGCACTCCGTACTTCGAGGCTGCAGCCGTTTTGCATGCAACGTTGTATGTGTTGATCGGTTGACAGCATGTGACAAAGCCGAGGACATACTAGTGTATCAGGAGCACTGTTTTTTAACACAGTGCGTCCCCCGCCTTGTCATGTTAATTTATCAAACAAGGCTTACTACCTATGCCAACATTATACATGTAGGGCTGTGCATGCTTTCAAAATTCTTCCTTGTTGAAGTAGAATACCGTGCTTGTGGGGGCTTTAGTAGTTCCTTTGCCAGATGTTCTATGCGTATCTCAATGACTTATCAGTTTCAGCACTTGGGCAAGGCACATTCGGGCCTACACATGTAGCCTTGAATTCTGGCTTGGAGGCATTATTTATCTATTTTCATGGCTGCTAGGTTCATCCTTAGTTAAGAGTTATTTCTCCGTGATTCGCTAATGAGTCCACAAAGGACGAAACAGCTAGACAGTACTAGTGCTGTCCCCAGATCGTGTATTCTAAATCCATAATACTGACGCTCAATCTCCAGACAGCTGTGTCAGCCTTTTTTAGGTCCCATCAGTGGAGCTCAGAGCGGGAGGTTAAACAAATGGCAATACGGTCTATATGAAATGAACAAAAAAAGCAATTTGAAAATGGCTCAAAGCATCAAAGTCAGCGAGCTATCTGCAAGACACGCACAAAGAGAGCTTTGCACGAAGGCAGATACATATTACATATACCTTTGACACTAACCAAAAAGAGTGCTCAATCAAGTCAACGCAAGGCAGCGTAATGCGGTGATCGAGTCTATAAAAAGCTATAGTGACATGTAGCCAGGCCCCCAGCACAATAAGTTGACTTGCATCATGCTAAAATCGTTCACACAAATCTCTTATAATAATTATTATATAGATTGCAGGATAGGGTGGTTGCACCAGGAAGTGCTGTCTCTGCGATAGTGGGACCAGCCAAGATTGCAGTACAGTCGTCCACCATCAATCCAGCACTTCATTGGCCCACGCCCTCGATACACCAGCATGATTTCCGGAGTTATTACCATTCATTGATACATGCCCCCACCCCCCAGTTCTTCGGCACCTGACCCGAGTTCTATTTGGGCCACACTACTTTGTAGCAGTCATACTATAGTACTAGAACTGGATGCACGTGATATCCACTGGAGCTGGCGCTGGCCATGAGCTGACCCACCGCCGTGCCTCCCAGTGTCAATTTTGCTTATGTGATCCTACCACAATCTGGAACATTATCAGTACTCGCCTCTGTTGACTTGCCAGCACTAGTTCTGGTGGATCCGGGCATGTTTCTGCCTTCTCTTAAGCATGTATTCTCCTGCAGGTGCATCTTTCACCTCCCTCTAATGCGCGAGCACATTTTCTGTGGAGATTCAACGACACATAGACCAGAAAATACAGAACAGAACAGTGGCTGCCAATGCGACACAGGTACCACATAGACCTAAAAACTCATAAGTACCCTGGGAGTTAGATGCATTTACGGGCAGTATGCCAGGATTTGCGCAGCTAATTTAAAATCAGATTAGCAATGCTGTGTGCTACCTAGGTGGCATCTTGGACTCAAAAACCAACCGATTGTGGTCCAACCCAACCGACAGCGTTGTCGGTGGGTTCCGATTGGCAGGTGTTGGATGGACGTATGATCCATGCGTCCCCACAAGCAATGAGAAGTTAACAATGCCACTAAGGATATAATATCGCGGACAGCAGTACAATGAAACTGGGCCATTCATTATCAGCAATATCAGGGGTATATCCCATCCGATAAGACGTACAGCTCGTGTATGGCAGACTTTACAGCAGGTCCCGACATAGCTTGCCCCGTGCCCTTTACCACTCCTGGGCCAAAACTGTTGTACAATACTCGAGAGGGTCTAGCCTAGTGAGTGTGAATAGAACCTGGCAAACCATATCTCCAAGTGATTCACATGTTGGTATATTCTCCGTTATCATACATCAATTCCGAGCAATTTGACACCCGAATATTCTCGCACCACTACTGCTGAAGTATTGACCACAAACCATGTTCCATTTGACTTACAAAAGGAACTTGCAAAAGGCATGAGAGCACTGGAATCCGTAAAGACTCTCGCATTATTTATTAGCCACCATACATACCTTTCGGGAAGTCGTGTTGGAAGCAGCATGCTCGGAGAGCAGAGCTGAGTGAGATCTGCATACAGTAACACAGCGACAATGAATCACATGAACAGAAGGAAGCAGTCGTATCCGTACACATCTGAATATGCGCTTATGGGAGGAAAATCCGTGCGACAAAAGAGGACCGTGTTATGCAGGTGTATGTCTTACCCGGGTACATACTAAGTGAGTTCCACCATACGTATATAATTTTATTGCAATTGAATCACTTGACTGACTGGAGCCAAAAATATCAATTGGCACTTACTCCGGTTACCCGAATGTTTCGGTACCACTATCATTAGGTTTTTTGCAATCGAACCAAGTCATAGTTGAGTCATTTTCAATGCGTTAGGTGTTACCTGACGTGCTCACTGCATCAGCCGCTATGTCAGATTCCACCAGGCATGCACCAAACCAGGCGCAATGCGCACACTGATGATGGTGGTTGGCACACAACGAGCAGTAGTAAAAGTGAAAGGACTTTTTGCATGTGATTTTGTTGTAATTTGTGCCAGTCGAATTGTCTCAGTGTAACTAGTTTATCGTTAGCTTACTAGTTTCTTTATACAAAAGAGAAAGACCAAGGAACTACAAGTTACGCTATACATGAGCGTTAGCATGCTAACGCGAGTTAGCAGCCAGCCCAGCGAGCTGGCCCAACCTGCACGCATGCGCGAGTCACGTGGGCACGCGCCCTTCAATATCCTGTACAATGTCTCTTTCATGTCATTGCTGTTTGGACTTTCGAGCGTGCAACTTGCGGAACAGGTGTTCCCGAAACAATTTCCTTCTTTCAAGCTTGCATTCTCGTATCTCTGCGTTTCAATTCAGACTTCATTGACGCCTGTTGGTGCCTGTTGGTGCCTGAAACAATGTCGTCGTCTTCAGTGGAACGTCGACTGTGGTTTTTTAGCTTGCGCCATCATCAGGTTTCCTGAAACGAAGTACCTTCACGCGATCTCAGCGACCCTTGTTTGTGCCTTGAAACAATGTCGTCGTCACCAACCGGCGTCCAGCCTCTCCGGACCGCCTCGCTCTACCTGGCTCCGCCGCCCGCCTACTGCGAACGCAGCGACGGCCGCCACAGAGCACCACCACTGCAACAGCAGGCGCGAGCCTGACGATCGTAATTCGTATCCAGAGAGGCGAGTTCGTGGACTTTGATTTTCTGTTGGAAGTAACAACGTTAGTTGTCCACTGCCGTCACCAACGCCACCCAGCTTCTCCTCGCTCTACTTGGATCCGTATCGCCGCTCGCCGCCAGCAGGCCGGACCCTACTGGGAGCCCGGTGCAGTGACGACCGCCATATGCGCATGCAGCACCAACAGCAGGTGAACCTGACTGTCCTATACGGGCCCTTCTCGATCGCGTCCAGAGAGGCGAGTTCGTGGACTTCGATTTCCTGCTGCCCGATACAGTTGCAGTCAGTCCAGCTCCGGCGACGTTCCAACTCCGTAGCCCCTCATGTTGCTCTTCTGGCGCACTAGCATTTATTTGAATCCGAACCCAGAACTGTGCTTCTTAGGCTGCATGACGGTAGCACTTGAGTTGAGACCTGGACAGTGTTCATGAATGGTCTGTGTTCCACTGTTCCTCACCGCGTTTCACGAGTGCCTGTGGATGTATTTGGCCACGATCGTCGCGGCCAATCACCAGTTTTTGCCACCTAGAAACTGGACGTTATCAATACTCAATCTGCGGACAACTGTTTCGTCCTTTGTGGACTCATCAGCGCAGCACAGAGGGAATTAAGCCGAACCTGATAGCAATGGAAAATAAAATAAATCTCCAAAGCCAGGTTATCAATATCAACTTGTGGCAACTGCGCCTCGCGGTGTACTGGAACAGCACGACCCGCCTGCCAGCAGTGCAGCTCAGTGCACTCGCCAGCATTTCCGTGCGCATTTCGTCCTACTCACCAGTACAGATCCGCATCACGTACCGCAACCGTATGCCGCTACTACGAGTACGGCGCTTGCACACGTCAGCTCAGGCAGTGCTACCTCCAGTGCCGACAGGAGCATCCCAGGGCAAAGTGTAAGGCCTCATCAGTAACTGTGTAAGCACTCAGTTTCTCACTTCTCAAAATTACTGGACTCACATCCTGATCCTATGCTCCGGAGGTATGTTGCACATGGTCGTAATTGTGGGGTTGTGGTAGGTTTCATCGGCAACCACTCAACTAACTGGGATCCATTGAATTTAACACGGTCACATGCTAACCCAGATTATATTTCTGCGCAACGATCCGTTTCTTGCAGCAGGCTTGAAACAGCTGGCCGATCCGTTTCTTGCAGCAGGCTTGAAACAGCTGGCCCGTGTTTTTTCACCCCCTTTCTCGCCTCTGTGCTGTTCCGGCGTAGATGCGGTTCCTAGACGAACGGGAAGTTACACACGACACACCCTTTGTAAAGCCTGGAGGGTCGAAGTGTCAACGATTACATTCCAGCAGACCGTGTCTCTCCACAATGTCAAGATGACAATGCTGCAAACATGATTAGACAATTGCTCGCCCCGCTGTATCTTGCTAAGCTCAATGTTAAAAGTGCATTCTGCCGAATTCCCGTCTGCCCGGAGGAGTGGCCCTTGTTGAACCGCTGGCAGGATCAATACTGTTATGAGAGCGTCCTGCCCTTCAGACTGTACTACGCTCCAGGCCAGCTATATGGAACTCTGTCGCATCCGCCAGTGAATGGATTGTGTGCGGGCAGTTCGCACTCCCACGCCTGTTGCATTACTGGGAATACCTCAATTAATGTTACTTCCTCAATGCATGCTCTAGACTTGTGTTACCTCGCCAGCAACTCGCTATTCTGCTCCGAGCGTTTACATACCTCGGTGTTTCTCTGGCCCCAGCAAAAGTGGAGGGTCCAGCTCAAGTCCTGACGTTCTTGGCATCTTCCCATTACGGGAAATACCTCGACTAACGTTTCTGTCTCCATGCATGCTCTGGACTTGTGTTAGCTCGCCAGCAACTCGCTACTCGGCGCCGTGCGTTTACATACCTCGGTGTTTCTCTGGCGTCAGCAAAAGTGCTTCCTCGATGTATGCTCTGGACCTGTGTTAGCTCGCCAGCAACTCGCTACTCGGCGCCATGCGTTTACATACCTCGGTGTTTCTCTGGCGTCAGCAAAAGTGGAGGGTCCAGCCCACGTCCTGACGTTTATCGGCGTCATCCTGGACACCCGCGCGCTCACATCAGTCTGCCGATGGACGAACTTGCCAAGCTTCACGACCTTCTACGGGCCACTCTCAACACAGCTTCAACTACCCAATGTCAACTCGAGTATCTTCTGGGAAAGCTCTCGTTTGCTACAAGAGTGATAGTCCCAGGACGCACATTGCAGATTGTGGTCACTTGCCAACTGGTACCGGCAGCCGTATTACCTGATCAAGCTCTCCGAATAGTGCCTCAAATACCTTCGCTGATGGCCTTAGCTCCTGGAATAGTAGAACGGCCGGTCCTTCTTCCTACACCCTAAGTGGACGCCGTCCCCCAGCTTGCTGCTATTCACTGATGCAAGTGGTGCACTTGGCTGGTGCGCAAACAATTGCAACCGGGGATAGGGCAATGGACAGTCAATCAAGCAGACCAGCCAATCGCAAAGAGTGGTTTGCAATTGTGGCAGCACCTGGAAAAGCTAGCGGCACCAGCAGCAGATGCCAATCGATCGGCTTTGCAGCAACTGCGAAAATCTTGCTCATCAGTTGTGGCTATGGCCTGGCGTCATACACCGGCCACTCGTTTCGAATCAGCTGCCGGACTCGATATTCAGAGAGGCGGGAAGGTGGAAAGCCATGTCTGCCCGAGTAACATTCAGAGGCCACCAGCAGCCAAAGCATGGGTGGCTGTGGCAATGGCCTCAGCCCATGATATCGAGTTCCTGTTAGTCAATCGTTACCGAGCTTGCACTGCTTACAAATATCACAGGTAGCTGCACTTTGTGATCCGCTCTGGGAGTGCCGATTTATGGAATATATGCTCTCAACTGGTTATGCATCTCTATATATCTAGCATTTGGCGGCTCTATTCAGAGTCATTGGCGGCTCCATGCGGAGGCATTGGCGGCTCCATGCGGAGTCATTCGGCGGCTCCATGCGGAGTAATTGGCAGCTCCATGCGGAGTAATTCGGCGGCTCCATTCGGAGTCATTCGCTCGCTCCATGCGGAGTCAATTGCCGGCTCCATGCGGAGTCATTCGCCGGCTCCATGCGGAGTCATTCGCCGGCTCCATGCGGAGTCATTTGCCGGCTCCATGCGGAGTCATTCGCCTGCTCCATGCGGAGTCATTTGCCGGCTCCATGCGGAGTCATTTGCCGGCTCCATGCGGAGTCATTTGCCGGCTCCATGCGGAGTCATTCGCCTGCTCCAAGCGGAGTCATTCGCTGGCTCAGCTGCGAGCCATTATACCAGTTGCTCGAATCGGCACTCCCAGCTTAATGCAAAACTCGGTTGCTCTGTTGTGAGGTGGGGGGATGCTAATGTCCACTAACACCACCAGTTACTAAACAATCAGCTCATGCGATAGCTATTGCACGACACTGAACAGCTCTAGCACATCTTGGATGCGCACTCCAACAGCCTTGTGGACGACGACTGTAACTGGAGAATCGGTCCGTCGCTCCACCAGCCCGGCGGCACAGTGGACAGTGCCTTGGGGGTGTCAGGCATGGATCAGGCTGATAAGGACGTGGTGGAGACGGAAATGATGTTTGCAAGGAAGAGTGATGATATGCGTATGTGCTCTCCGCCAGTTGTTGAAGCAACAGTCCGGCAGTGGACAGTCGGCAAGGTTAAAATAAGTGACCAACTGGGTGAAAGTACACCAAATGTGGCCCATCTCTTGAATGGTGCGGACCACGGCAAGGACCTGAAGTTGAAGGTCGTCAATGGCAACACCGCATGGTCGACGTCAATGGGAACATCAAGCCATCAAGTTGGTGGAACTATGGAATGTCCGTCGCAGGCTGCAGCGACAGGGTAACGTGCTCAGGGAAGAGTACAGCGACGATGATCAGCTGTGTCTTGCACGCAGTCGTGTTGATCGTGGCGTGCAGAACAACAGAGTCAGTTGCGGTATTCGTACATTTGTCTGTTTAGGATTGTGATCCCCAGGAAGTCCTTTCGTGAGGAGTGATGTCACGCAACGAGCAGTAGTCAAAGTGAAAGGACTTCTTGCATGTGATTTTGTTGTAATTTTGTAAGGTGTGGTGGCAGAACTTTCAGCTGGTAGTGGGTGATGGGCTGTCTGTGTGACAACAATTACGGGCTTGACGAACGACATAATTATGGCGAGTCGATCTTTGGCCAGTTGCTGAGTTGGAGATCGTCACCGTAGACCCAGAGATCTGGTCCACGGTCCAGGGGTTGGGATCCCACTGTGGTGAGAGCTTGTGTGCCTGCTCATTGCGGCGTAAGACGCGCTGACCAGGAGTGAGGATGGGGGCGTTTGACCGGCGGGTGGCATTGGCAGCGTCGCACTGGGATTGGCGGAATTGCTGGTCACGGTGGGCAGCTGAAGGTAAGTCTGGTGCGGCTGCCGTAATGCAGGGTATGCTGTCGCGGATGGGGCGACCAAACATGAGTGTTGCCGGTGCCTCGTGAGTGGCAGGGTGTGGCGTGGTGCGGTACGCTAGGAGCCATTGGTCAAATGCAACATTGATGTCTTCGCCAGCTAGTTTGGCAGTTCGCAGAACTTTGCCAATGGTACGGTTGAGGCACTCGACTGCTCCGTTTGCTTGTGGCCACAAAGGAGGGGTGTGGCGGTGCTGGATAGCGTGTGGCGCGAGGAAATCAGCAAAAGCCGAAGAACGGAACTGAGGACTGTTGTCCGAGACTAGCTCTTCGGGCAAGCCGAACATGGATAATGTAGAGCGCAGAGCTACAACACCGGCCGTAGTGGGTGTCGTGCTGAACACGTTGATGACCGGGTAGCGAGTCAACTGGTCGATAGTGGCAAGCAGGTGCTGACCGTTTGGCATGGGTCCATACAAATCGACGAAGACTCGTTGCCACGGCTTGGTGGACGGTGGTGTGGGCACGGACTCCCGGACGTAGCGGTGTCGTTGAGAGAGTTGCTTGGCACGGAATACATTGCCGGCAGAGTGCTTCGGCTTCAGTAGCCATGTTGGGCCACCCAACATTGCTGTTGAGCCGTTGCTTGGTGCGGACAATATCTTGGTGGCCCGCATGTGTAAGCTGCAGGGTAAGCCGTTGGAGGGCCGTGGGAATGACGAGACGGTCGTTGCGGAGTAGTAGACCGTCACTCTCAGACAGTTCATGGCGGAGGGCAAAGTACGGGCGGACCGTGGTGTGGCTGGAATCCCAGCGGCCAGATTGCAGAGAGGAAAGGATGGCTTGCAGTGTGGTGTCTGCGGTGGTGGCGTCCGCAATCTCCTTCAGAGCCAACGCATTCGGCTTAGCTGCTGTAGCTAGGGCATGTATGTACGCAGTGTCTTCCTGTGCGCCGATGTTTGGCAAGTCGGGATGAGGCTGCGGATTGCGACTGACGACGTCGGCCGGGTTTTCTGGGCCAGGCTTGTACTGGAGCTGGAAGCTGAGATCCTGCAGGCGGAGGACCATGCGCTCAATTCATGGTGGAGGTCTCGATCCGACGGCCTTGAGTTGCAGGAGCGGCTTGTGGTCGGTGACAACGGTGAACTGTGGAT